ACTAAGGAAAGTAGGATTCAATCAATTTATTTTTGTCTCCAGAATGCGCAATTTAATTTATGACATACCTTTTGAAACACCCTGTATACCAGTCATTATTTTATATGTTATATTCAGTAAATTAATTGCTCCGTAGTTTTTGCATATTCTATGGTCTACTTGTTTTGAGATTATCACTATAATTCCCTTCATCCGTTCTTCGGGCATTATTCCTTTGCTCTATATATTCTGTATTAGTTCATAAATCTGTCTGTATAATGCCTCCCCACCGTATTTTATAAGTTCTACAGTTTTTTAAGTTTGCATATTTACTCTTTCACGTTTGTAGGTCAATTCTTCTTCTTCATCATCTTGTTCTGTGTTCGTTATTGTTTCTTTCTTTCTTCTTCACTATCCGTTTCTTGATATATTTCTTTCGAAATACTTCTGTCATTTTTCTGCTTCTATAGCTATATTAGCTGTCCGTTTTCGGTTACCTAGTCTTAAGTATTGCTACAATGGTTTTGAGTTGTGTCTTTTATTTTCTGTTTTTATCTCATTTATAATTCCTTTTACTGTTTGATTTTTTGTCTATTTAAACAAATTCTTTGTCTTTTGCCTTTGATCTTTGTATTTTTCTCGTTCCTCTTCTTTGCTTGTACTTAACCATTTCAATCTTGATTTAATATTTTTTTCCACTTCTAATTTGCACTCACCGGCAAACCAATTATTTCTTTTATTTTGCATTTTGTCAACCACTTTCTCTGCATTGTTTATTCCTCGTTTGATTTTTTCCACAGTTCCTCAATTTGTTGTTCTGTGGACTGCATCTATGCATTTACTTCTTGTACACATGTTCTTTCTCTTTCAATTTATCTACGTCCCATTGTGGTTTTCACTTTTCACCTTGTTTTTATTTTACATTTTGTTGTTAAATAAACAATATTCAAAAATAACGATTTTTGCAATAACTTTATTGTTTATCATCCGATTTTAATTTAGCATATCTCATGTGTTTTTTTTTTCTGAAAAGTTGTCTGTTCACTTCAAGTCTCTAAATAGACAAGTTTTTAAGTTATGATCAAAATAATGAGTTTGACGTTTTGACTGTTGATTTAAACGTACTTCCATTAAAAAATTGATAAATCCCCTAGATGAGTCTTTTTGTAATATCTCATACTACACATTTCAACTGGAAATGGAATAAAAATAAAATAAGCAATACCCCATGGAAGATTTTATTGAAATCAGAACTGGAAACTCAAATCTAAATTATAAAAAAAATAAATTAACAAACTCTTCAGTTATTAACAATAGGAAACTATGTACAGCTATAAAATGCAGAAAAGAGCAACGCCTTCTCGCTTTACTACTATATAATAGTCCGATTAAATATCTATATACAGTATGTACACAAAAACCGAAAATATGAATCGCATTTTTAATACTTTTCAAAGAACAAAATTGCTCATCGACATTATGTTGCCACATCTCGAGAAATTTAGAAAATAACTTTTGTTACGCTACTGGTATGTTATATACAAAAGAAATGCCTTGAAAATGACGTGCAGTTCATTCAACTTGAAATATTTTGTCCTTTTTATTGATTACACTTCTCAAGGTCATTACGATGGCATACTATATTATATGTCTATGACCTATAGCACCTATTGCAGAAGTCTGCCAAGAAAATAATTACCGGCATGGTTTAACATGAATAAAATTTAATAAATTGTGATTATTAGCAAAATTTAGACATATTTTACATACGGAAAAGGAAGAGCATGGACTCTTAATAGAAATTTTTGGTTAGATTAATAAGCAAATTAAAACTCGAACAAAAAAATCGATAAAATAGATAAAATTGAGAATAAAAGAGACGAGGAGAGTAATTTAAAACTTTTATATAACTTGCATTGGGAGATTGGCGACACAATATTTGTAAACCAACGAAAAATTATAGATATAAAGATAGCACTGTCAGCGCCACAGACAGTATTGCAGATTAGGTTAAGTTAGGTTAGGTTTGCACATACCTATACCAGAAATCAGTCAAGAAAATTCTCACATATTACACTCCGAAAACGGAAAAAAACATCAACTCTCAAGATGTAATAGAAAAATTAGTACAACCAGAAAGGAAAATAGATTAGTAACATAATAGATACAGATATAATTGTTTCTATACTTCTTTCGATGCTGTAATGATAAAAATGAGAGCAAAATTATTTACAAAACCATTTCCTTTATCAGTAAAGGTTAAAACACCGAGAAATATAACGAATTGACTACTATATTGTTTCCTATACCCTAATAAATCACAATAATTGCAATTAAACTTACATATTTTACGACTTTTCTACTTCTCAGTCTGGAAATTGTTCTAAACACCTTGATCACGGGTTTACATAACAAATAATGGATCTCTGAGCTTCTTTTTAACTGTACCTTTACATATTTTGCATTGCGAATATTATTCATTCAAATATTACACCACTTTTCTAATTTTTTTTGAATTTTTATTTGAGACATAACTTACTTGTTGCAAGTTATTGAAGTCTCACCGGTCTGGTTACCAACCAGAAGGTCATAACATATGACGGTCATCTGAAGGTCATAACATCCATAAAGATCGGACGTCTGCGCTGGATGGGCCTTGTTGAACGGATGTTGGAGAGTGAAACACCAAAACATATAATGAGGCAAACACCAGTAGGGAGAAGGTCAAAGGGAAGACCCAAACTTAGATACATGGGAACAAGATCTGAAAACACTTAAGATTACCAACTGGAAAAACAAAGCAAGGAACAGAACAGAATGGCGGAAAATCCTAGAACAAGCCAGGACACAGAAAAGGTTGTCGAGCTACTGATGATGATGTCTAGAGTGGACGTGTTAAATGAAGGCTGGATGATGATGGTGATGATGATGAGACTTCTATGGGATGTCACATTGTGCAAGTCTAGATACGTATACATTTGCGTGAATTACAAGCAGTTTTGTGTGATTTGTAATCAGTTTATTCAAGATATTCGGTCTGAGTACATGTTTAGAAGTTACAATGGGTGATTATGAAAGAAAGCAGCTCAAATTAGAAAAATTCTGGGACGAAATTCTGTCCGACGAAGGTAATGAGAAGAAATTCAATGATGTAGATTTCTCTGATGAATATGAAGCTATCAATTATTACGTTTTTTCTGCATTGATCAACCCTGTATTTGCTACAAAATTTGTGCTATCAATAATTTTCAAATGTACTATACTATAACGAGCGTTTCTCTTGGCAACTTCTCATTAGAAAGACAAACCCATTTAGTGGGGATTGTGCGATCTAACAGAAAATTCAATTGAAAAGTCGTTGTTACAAAAAAACAACACCTGTTTGCTCATGAGAGCAATAATGGAATATTTAATAATAAAGATGTTGGTGTTATCCAACGAGGGGATATAGTACAATCAAAATCAATTTTTGACTACAACAATCGAAAGCTTATATTGATCTTTCAGATCAACTAAAAGCATATCCTCGTTGTCTCAGAAAAGACACCAAATGGGATCGAAAGTTAGCACCTCATATATATATAAAGAAAATTAATCGAGTTTCGGGCCTTCCCAGAAGGTCCGAAAGGAAGAGCTACTGGAATCTTTTCAGCAGTACTACAAGCCAGGAGAGCATCAGTCTATCGATGAAAGTATGATTCGTTTCAAGGGCCATTCCACTTTGAAGCAGTATATGCCCAAAAAACCCATAAAAAGAGGGTACAAACTTTGGGTACGTGCTGATGCTGTGACTGGTTATGTTCACGAGTTCCAAATATACACTGGCAAAGTAGGTAAAGTGGTAAACTGGTTTAGGTGAACGTATCTCACAAACACTCTTGTTGGCAAGGGACCCAAAGTTTATTTTGACAACTATTTTTCGTCGGTATCTCTTATGAAATATTTATTGGAGAACAATATTTACGCATGTGGTACAGTAAGAGCTGATCGTACTAATTTGCCACAAAATATTGTAGTCGAAAAACAGATGGAACGGGGAGAAACAGATTGGCGGTAGGCTTTCAATAAAATAGTCTTCACTAGGTGGAAAGATAACGGGATCAATTTTTTGTTCACCTTTCATGATCCTACTGAAATGGTATCTGTCGAAAGAAGACAGAAAGAAACTGTGGCTGCACCAACATTTGTAAAAGACTACAACAAATATGTGGGTGGGGTGGATAAGGTGGATATGCTAAAGAGTCTATACGAAATAAATAGAAAAAGTGTTTTTTTCCATTTACTTGATTTAGCAGTAACTAATGCGTTTATCATATTTAAATGTAGAAGTCTAGGACGTGCATTATCATTGAAAGAATTCCGACTAGCTGTTGTTACAGGTCTTATTGGTGCTAATACAGACACCCCAAAAAGGACCAAAACATGCAGTAAATAGTTTCAAAAAATATGTACCTATTGAAGTTAGATACAATAGAGTGGCTCATTTGCCTCTTCATGGAACATCAAGAAGACGTGAGTTATGCAGTACAACCGCAAAGGTTCATCGGACTCGTTGGTTTTGTCAAACATGCAACATTGGTCTGTTTATCTGACAATAAAAAGTGTTTCCAAAAATTCCATACCCTTGGATAAGTGACTTTTGTGTCCCAGTGGTTTTACAGTGAAACCATACTTTTTTTGTAATATTTGTTACGATTAAATTTAAATTTTCAGAAAAAGCGTGAGTTAATTAATTAAGTTTCCGAAATTTCTTTTATTTTAGAAAAAAAAATGAGAAAAAAAAACAATGTGGGCCGCAAAGGGTTCATCAACAGTTTTCATTATGTTATAAAATGTTTTCTATAATTAGGAAATTCAAAAATGTTGTTCGATGCATTAAAACTTTAAAAAACTTTTTGTTCTCTAAAATTCAATTTTCTTGTCAATCTAACGTTGGGCCAACTGTAATGGGAAGGGGCTCGTATGTTATTTGTATTTCGAGAAGAATTTCCGAACTGGAAGTAAAAATTTCATAAAAATATAGTAGGCAAAATAGTATATTCCCACCCAAATATAAACAACTTAAAAACCAATCGATCTTTTTACACAGAAATATCAAATACAAATTTCACTTGTAAAAAACAGCTCTATTTGTCCTTTTTAATATTAGAACTACCGTTTTTCTTCTGTTTGAGTGGACCGTTGGTTTTAACAGTTTCACTTTGTCTATTAGCCTTCCCCAGATCGTAAAAGAAATCACTCTGCAGAGTTTTGATACTCCGCATCCTATTTCTGGTAGGTCTAAGGTTGGCTGTGTCAGAGGGACTCTTATCCAACGCTTCGGAGGATTTTTCCATCGCTTCGCAGGATTCATCCTCCGTCGACAACGGTGTAGCGCAGTTGCTACGTTCGATCGCCCCTTCTCGTAGCGCACCAGGTCTTCGTTCGTCGAGTTCCACAACCTCGAATACCGGCAAGGTGTAGATCTCTTCCGGAACTTCCAGCAGGGATCTGTCTTGATCTTCGTCTCTTAAATCGATGCATTCGACGTCGTCGATGTTCCAGATGGTGGGAATTGAAGATTTGGATTCTTCCGGGTCGTCTAACTCTGGCATTTCTGGATCGGAATCGTAGATTTTTGGCTCGGTTGTCTTCTTCACCGAAACTGTCGCGTTGCTTTCTTCCATTCTGATGTCGTCCTCGCTCCAGATCATTTCCTGGAACAAAAATATTATGAATTTTGTATATGATGTTGTTTGGAAAAGTATTTAGGGGTTACTTAAATATTTTATTTTCTATCATTCTTAATATTTTCAACATTATTGAAACCTGACTTATGACCTTATTTTAACCCCTTACCGCATAGTGGGTCATATATGGCACAATACTTAGTTTTATACCTAACCGTTAGAGATCGAATCTTATTTTAAAGAATTTATGCATGACATGTCCATATACAGGGTGTTTCAAAAAAAGGTAACCCCGTCTCTAGAGTAGGTAAAAAACTGAAAAATAATTGGGGTTTGCTTAGTAAAAAATTTTTGTAACACCATCCGTTTTCAAGATACAGAGCGTTGAAGAAAAAAAATTTACGCATTTTTTACGATTTTGCCGAAACTACTGGCAACATTGTAATGCAATTTTATACGAATATGTTTTGGAAGCTGATACATCCCATGAATTTGTTTTTATATCTGATTCTCATAGAGGGCGCTAGTTACACGGATCGTACTAAGTATTAGTCAATATAACTTTTTTAAGAGTATAATTATTAATCAAAATTTCAAGTAAACTTAAACATCATTCAATTTTACACGAAAAAGGTACTCTTGGTAAAACTCGATACTGTGTACCGTTTTCGGAATATTTTGATTTGAAAAATTATGAAGTAATAATTGATGCTGGTGTAAAATAGTTAGTAATTAAACAAAACTCACAAGAAGAAAATTAAATTAGTGACTAAGAACATAAAATAAAATTCAATTACAGTAAGTGTTCAAAATGCCCGCCGTTTTCGCGAAACCACAAGTCTATTCTTTTTTCTAAAGATTCCATTAACCTTCTAAACGGTAGGGAATCAGCTATGATGTCATTAAATTGACGTTGAATTCTTTCTTCCAATTCTTGGCGTGAATTTACCTCTGTAGCATAGACTTTTTTCTTAATATACGACCAAACTGCGTAGTCCAAAGGGCTAAAATCGCATGACCGAGGAGGCCAATGAATCGGAGCTTCTGCACCTCTACCAATCCATCGATTCGGAAAATGATTACTCAACCAATTACGACACCTTCTATCAAAGTGTGGTGGAGCTCCATCGTGCATAAAAAAAAAGATCTTCGCTCGTTTAGCGTTAAATCTTCTAATATCTCGAATAAGGAATTGTTTAAAAAATCAAGATACATATCACCATTTAAATTTCCAGGTAGAATATGATAACCTATTAATGTGTTACCTAAAGTTGCTGCCCGAACATTAACTATAAATGAGTGTTGGTAATGTGATACCCTTTTGACTCGTGGATTCTCATCACACCTGTAGTGTGCATTATGGGAGTTAAACATACCTTGTCGCGTAAAGGTGGCCTCGTTCGTAAAAAGAATGCATTTCAAAAGATTGTGGGCTGTCCTTTGTTGCAATGTTTCACAAAAATCCACTCTAACCGGTAGATCATCTTGCAAGAGCTCTTGGACTTGTCTGTAATAATAAAGATGTAATTGCTGTTCTTTCAGTATCCGCCAAGTACTTGAGAAGAAGTATTTGTTTGTCTTGCTATATTCCTTACGCTAACTGTTGGATCTTGATCAAGTAAATTTAAAATATTATTTTCTTTATTAATTGTTCTTGTTGTCCTTTGGTCTACCAGAATTTATTTTATTTGGTCTCACATTCCCAGTTTCTCGACAACGTCGTTCAACGACTCTAAATGTTTTTTTTACTTGGTAAGTTTCTTCTAGGAAACTTTTCTGCATAACGTGTCACAGCTGCACTAGAACATCCTAAACATTCGCCTAAGGTTAATAACATGTCAGTGTATTCAACATTTGAGTACATTTTGATTTGATTTTACAAATAACAAGGTTTCAAAACTCTAATTATTGTTGATTTATCGTCATAACAATCAATAAATGTCAGATTTCCATGGCACACTTGAGAAAATAGGAGTATACCTATTAGAACTTTATCATTACTACCAGCATCAATTATTACTTCATAATTTTCAAATCAAAATATTCCGAAAACGGTACACAGTATCGAGTTTTACCAAGAGTACATTTTTCGTGTAAAATTGAATGATGTTTAAGTTTACTTGAAATTTTGATTAATAACTTATACTCTTAAAAAAGTTATATTAGACTAATATTTAGTACGATCCGTGTAACTAGCGCCCTCTATGAGAATCAGCTTCAAACACATATGTATTCGTATAAAATTTCATTACAATGTTGCCAGTAGTTTCGGCAAAATCGTAAAAAATGCGTAAAATTTTTTTCTTCAACGCTCTGTATCTTGAAAACGGATGGCGTTACAAAAATTTTTTACCTAGCAAACCCCAATTATTTTTCAGTTTTTTACCTACCCTAGAGACGGGGTTACCTTTTTTGAAACACCCTGTATAGAGCAGTATAAAGCGCCATCTCAATGCAGCAAAGTCAACTTTTATGAAAATTTGCAAATGGCCGCGGTCTGACAGCTGTTTATAAGAATTGTGCTATTTGATATTCAATTATTGAAGTTTCTACTGAATATTTTTGTATAAAAAATTAGCGACATCAAGGATAGACCTTCAAGAAAGAATTTCTTTAAGTATTTTCAAGTGTTTCTTTATATTTTCTTATTTTTTATCAAAAATATGCTTGTGCCATATATGCCACAACATGCATTGCCGTGCAAAACTCTCATATATACAATGAGTGATCAAATTATTAGAGCCACATAGCAAAATTAAATTTTTTTACAAAAAGGGTATATAATTGAGTTCTATAGTATATTAATGCGTTTGTTTCCATTTTATTATCTTGTAACACTTTATGAAAGTACAATAAATAGTCTGACTACAGTGGCAACACAGTGGGCTTGGCAATTCGTGACTCAGATGCCATTGTTTGTCAATGCTGTCCAGCCTAGCTTGCAACTCGTGTGCATATTGTTTTGTATTCTTGGTGTTTACCACAATCATTAACCAAAATATATTGAGGTACTTTGGACACATTACCAGACGAATGGAAGGCATGGAGAGGTTGGTGGTTGAAGGCAAGGTAGATGGTAAAAGAACTCAAGAAAGATCGCCACTCCGATGGTCAGACCAATAAAGTGGGCTACCGGTTACTCTCTGTCTGAGGCAGCACACCGCGCCCAGGAGAGAGAAGAATGGATAGCAACCATTCGTCAAATACCATAACGCAACCACATCCTTACGAAGGATAAAGGATAGAGGAGGAGGAAGAGGACGACTCTATATCTACTCCTATATACATTCAATTGTTTACTGCTTTAATTAATTATCCATTTAGAGTTGTTTGCCATTTTTGTTGTTGTTCCAACACTCTAGGAACTAAAGATTGTAAATACTCACTTCGTCGGTGGCCCTTCCGCCCAGTTGTTCATCCACGCAGCAGCTTGTGGAAGTCCCCGGACATCATCGGACTCTTCCAATACGGTATAAACATCACCTCATTGTCAATTGGGATACTCCGGATGCCGTGCGTCATCCTTAAGTGACTCCGACAATCCGCTTTGGTGTATGAGACGAATGTACATCGAAGGCACTGGAACTGGTACCAGCTGAAGTGGGCGAGCATGTGCTTTAATAGTTGGTCTATGGAAGCGTGATGCAACTTGCAGGTTTGCACGTCATCGTGGTAGTATCCATAAACGAGGCGGCTTTCTTCAGGAATTCGCTGCTCACTGCCTACATAGTTTGAAATATAACATATTCTGGAGTATTCTATATCGATCGAGTGTAGTTTTTTAATACAAAAAAACATGTTACGTCACAATGTATACAAACTGACGTCATGTGTATTTAAAATTTCTATAACATCAATCTTAGAGTTGAAATTACTTGCCATAAGGTCCCATTTAAATTTATCTGTCACAGTGGCGCTGTAATGTCATCTGTCACTATTGCGTCACCTGTTATGACTAGTTGAGAAGCCTACATCTGTTTATTACCTCCCTCCAAATTTCACTATTATAACAATAACAATTCAAAAGATACGAGTGGGATCGGACTTTTGACTAGCATTGTATACAGATAACGATATTGTTTTGTTGGCCATAGGAATTAAGATTTATTGCAATCCCATCTCTAGAATATATATTTATTATAATGCTCTAAAACTATTTTTTTGGTTATTTTTTAGCCTTGATAGCAATACAAATAAATAAGTAAGTAAATAAGTTAATAGCTTTATTGTCACTGAAAATAGACAAGAAAGAAGAAAAAAATCAGAATAAGAATCGTTTGTACTTTTAAATAAAAAAAAAAACAATAAAATTCTTCCAAACTTTAACATAAAAAATACTATCTAATTAAGAACATACAAACTTAGTAAAATGTATCTAACACAAAATAAAAATTAATGAAATAAAAGCTCAAATATTCCATCTTGTGCTAAACAGTCACCAAATATGTCCATACAGATTTCTCCTCATATTTTGGAGTAGGACTGATGTAATGCTTGCAGAGAAATGAAGTATTTTGCCCTTAATTCGACTAGGTGAAGATACTAAGAAGAATAATGGGCGCATTCTGTGAGAATGGTATTTGAGAGAAGGCGATATAATTTCGAATTGTACGAGAAATATAAAAAAATAGTAAATGGTAGAGATGTAATATCCTTCATAAAAATAGGCAGGATTAGATGGGCTGGATATGTGTCAAGAGCAAATGAAAATTACCCACCCAGACGAACTCTATTATCGGTCCCAGTGGGAAATAGGAGTAGAGGTAGACCACGACTGAGATGGAGGGACGGTGTGGACGAGGACGCAAGAAAATCGGCGCGGCAAATTGGCAACGGTTGGCGATGAACAGAAACGATTGGCGAAATAGACTGGGGAAGGTCAAGGCTCAACTAGAGCTGTAGCACCACTGATGATGATGAATTCGACTAGGTTTGTTGCCCTTTCAAACTGATGCCTATAAATGTATTCTTGAGAAAACCCCAAAAAAGAAATCGTAAGGTGCTAAGTCACAGGATTTAGCGGGCCATTTAATAGTACCACATCTACTTATCAGTCGATCACGAAATGTTTGATTGAGGAAGTCAATATTTGTTCTAGAGTCTCCTGTTGGAAATAACCACCTGAAAATTAACGAGGCGTTGAACTTCCGGAATGATCTCATTCTGTAAAAGTTGTAAATATTTGGGCCGTTTAGGTTTCCATCGATAAAAAATGGACCGACAATATGGTGCACGTCCCATCGCTTATTTGAGAGATGCATTATTTTTCCGAGAATAATACCTTGCAACGGATGGATTGTGTTTTTTATGTAATGAAAATGAATATTCATCAGAAAATAAGCCTAATCCGCCTAAAGTTATCTTCTGGAAACAGTTTTTGTGTTGGTTGTATCTTAAAACAGTGATACCCATTCCTTTTGAGAACTAGCTGGACAGTTCGAGCATTCACGTTAACTTCCCTAGCAATTTGTACACTATTGCAGGGTTCACTAGCTTCCACAAAAGCACAAGTATTAATATCCCTGTTTTGAGCTCCTCATCGACACAGGTTCACTACATTCATCACACTTTTTACAGCTGTTTACACATCCCGCAGTTTAAAAATGTTTTTCTACTCACTTACTAGTAAATTGTATAATATCCTTGAAATAACATTGGCACTAAATCACTTCCGAGTTTTCAGCAAAACAAAATGTTTAAACACGTGTAGTCCAGTAATTAATACCAAAGCTATTGAGAGTATGCAGTCCAGTAATTAGACCGAAGGTACTGTATCGTTTAACTAAAACACACCACAAAGTCCGAATTGAATTCACGAAACTCTGTTTTGTTACTTCTTTTTAGCAAACGATTTATCCTATTCACTGTCTGATATTTCACTATGGGAGTCGTCAATATCTGAATTGTCTATCCGAATAATTAGAGGCCGGACCTCATCTATAACTCGCTCGGTATCCCAAACTAACTCAATTGCATTATTTATAGTGGCAATAGTAGGGCGAAAGTCGAAGAACTTCATGGCCATATTTAAGAGCCATTTGATCAGTAACAAATTTCTTTTGAATTTTGTGCTCTCCACACCTTTGAAGTAAATCGACTTTTAAAAATATGCCACTGTGATCAATTTTCCATTTTGTCAACCACAACTTTATTTCTTCTTTTGTCCAGCTGCTTGAAGGAAATCTCTCTTCTACTCTTGAGTGGTAGGATGCATTATCCAACACTATTACGGATGGCCGTTCCAATTTTTTTAACAAATGTTCTTCAAATCATTCTTCAAAAATATTTGCATCCGTATTTCCATGGTAACCACCTGTATACTTTGTAAACGAAAAAAATTAAACTAGCGTCATCATTTCCAGCATGAAGTATAATGTAGCGTTTACCATTACCGGAACGACTAGAAGAATAACATTTCGAGGTGCCATCTTGCCAGGATGATTTTGACATATTTCCTTTAGCAAAAATCCAAGTTTCATCTCAAAATACAACTTGCCTCGGATTATCAGACTTTTATTGTTCATGTATTTTCTTAAAAAATGCCAGCGGTTTGAAACAACATTAGAAAGTTCACACAATACTTGTCTATTATTTGTCTCTTTATATCGAAAACCTAAATGTTTCAGCACTCTCCACAAACTTGTTAAATTAATATCACACAGTTCCTTGACTGGTGCAAATCTAATCTAGTTTTTGGATGTCGACGATTTCTCTTGCTTACTTTATTTATTTCATCCTCACTCATGTTATTCATTCTTCGGAATGTCCTCTCTGAGATACCGCAAGCATCGCATGTGCGTTTCTGAACTCCCATAAGAGATGTCAATGGACCCACATTATTTTTTTCCAAATTGAAATAACTTTCGAATTTTAGAACTAAACGCCGTTCTTCTGGAGATAACACTCTACGTTTCGAATGTATTTTATTTTCTTCCAAATTACTCATTTTGCTTTAAACTACCACTCACTACAATACTAAACAAGGTACTTATATACAACTACTACACCCTAAAAAGGACGAGGGTTGTACACAGACAAACAATCGAACCATTATTTAAAGCAATCTATGCATAAACACTCATTGATGTGATGCAAAACCGTTCGCATGTTTTAACTAAGACATAGATATAATTTTAAATAAACAAAGACTGAATTACACTTTTTCAATGAATTGTCGTGAGAATTTTAAAGAAGATAACAATGATTTTCATTTAAACAAATTTTTAAGTGTTATAAAGGAGATTACAATTATGATGACACATGGTATTTACTCCTTATTTTTCAAATAATATGTTCTTGTAAAGGGATTGGGTAAACTTACATTATACGATACGTCAGAAGAAATTTAAAAAAAAAATTAACATGTAATAAATTCACTGTTTAAATAAATATTCCGTACTCGTACTATTGCAATAAAATATGAAACCCAATTAACGATAACTAGTTGAGCAGTGCTGATTGAAACAAGAGAGCAGTAAAATGTTATTCATGAATGTAGTGTAAAATATATCGCCGCTTATCTGGTCCGCTAATAATAAATTTACCAGCATTTAATTGCAAAGCGGTCTTCTTAGATGAAAAATATTATATTTTGATTTTTTTGGTAGCGCTGGGGGATTCAGACGACATAAATTTTGAATTACGTAACATGATTTTTGTATTAAAAAACATACATTTATATAGGTACTATAGGATGTTCTAAAATTACACAATATTAATATATATTAAAAGCTTACCTCTTCATCCAAACTGACATCGTTCTGGTTAAGAGATTTTCCGACTAATTCACCATCCACGGTGTTCCTACTCTTCCTATTGGCCAACAATTTTGTTCTTTTCGTATTCCTACAAGCTTTACTGCTTTTAGAATCTTGTGAAATACGTTTCGAACCTTTCTGTACTTTAGATGGGACGACGCTAGGTTCCAGGATGGGCATATCATCATCTAGACTGTCCGAATCCTTGGAGTTACTACGTAGCGCAGCAAGACTTCTTATTCTGATCGCTCCTGAAGCAATTAAGTGTTAAATGTAAATGCCACAAAGAGTCTATGTCTGCCAAGACTCAGATTTACCCTTCATTAAATAGAATAGAAATGTGCTTTATTGTCACTGCAAATTGTATAATTTTATGGACAAAGCTTACAAAAACAAAAAGGAACAATTAAAATTTACTAAAATTACATAAATCGTCAATATCACAAAGGGGAGGAAGAAGCAATTGAGTTCTATCAGAACATCAACAGTATCATACAGAAAATTCCTCGACAGGAAGTTCTCATCATTATGAGGCGATTTTAATGCCAAGATTGGAGCTGGAGATAAGACACAGTACAGTGGGTAACATGGACTTGGAGTCAGAAACGAGTGAGGAGACCTCCTAGAAAATTCGCAGAAGACTCAAAACTAATTGTCACTGACACATCTTCCAATTACCACCTCGCAAGCTGTACAAGTGGAAATTCCCTTTAGTAAGGGGATTTCCTTAGAAATTTTTAGTAAATAAAATATTCCGAAACAGCTTTACATCTGTCAAGACATCCTAGAGCAGACTTGGAGCCAGACCACGTTCCACTAGTGGGAGTATTTGGAGTCAAACTCAAAACTGTGCAGAAAAGGAAAGCACAATCATACGACCTACATATGCTGAAAGACCTTGATACGAGGACGAGAGTCCAAGCTATATTAAACGAGCAAGTGACTGCACGAACGAAGAACAAACGATCAAACATATTACAGAAATAGTGCAGAATGTAGAGGGTAAACACTTAAAGACAGATAGTTTATGAAGAAAAAATCATGGATGACAGATGAGATCCTAAAACTAATGGACGAGAGAAGAGAAGCCAAAAATGACCCAGACAAATATAAAACCATACCAACCATTTAAAGAACCTCAGAATCTGGTTTAATACAACATACGTGCAGCTTTTCCGTGCTACTGCAGATAAGATAAAGATTGCCATGATGATTGCCAACATTCGTAACGGATAGGCACATCAAGAAGAAGAATTCTTCAAAACGAAATTAGTCAAAAAACATCAGATAATAATTAAATAGTGACATTTGAACACTTGAAGGGTGAGCACTAATTTATTTATGTAAATAAAGAACTTACCGAGTGGTGGGGAATTCTTTTTATTCTTCTGTGGCGTTGATGGTGGAGATTTGAAACCTAAATGTGGACTATTTTCATCCCTATTACCTTTCTCGATATTCTCCTCTTTTATTCGTTTCTCTGAGAGGTAATCGACAAAAATCATTTCTCCTTGCGTTGGATCAGACTCTGGTTCTTCTTTTATTACTTCTATTCGATCATCCTTGCTGATATCTAAAAATTTTAGTCATATACACTACTCAAATTGTAAAATAAACTAAAATCCAAGAAAATATTGGAAACATTGACTAATAATAGACTATGGTGCCACAAATCATTTGATAAATGCAGTTTCAGGAAGTTTTTTTAACGGAAATTAAAACTGTAGCTCATAATATTAGTGTGGCAAATCAAGGTGTAATCATAAAAGCTGAAAAGAGTGGCAATTTACATGTTTTGAGTAATGTCGGTGTTAAACTCAATATGAAAGATATTTTACAGTGCAATGAATTTTTCTATTCGAAAGTACCTTCTATCTATGACAATTAAAACTAAATGCAATTATTTTATAGTAGATGTAAATTGATTCATCCACACTCTTTCTAATAACACTAATTTCGTTAAAATCGGTTGAACCAAACCAAAATTATAGGTATTTATCCATAAATACTTTCCCACTCTACCCCACACTTTATTTGAAAAAATAAAAAAACAGTACTTGTACAACTTTGTGCGGAATTTAGGCCTCTTTCTAGTTTACTTATTTAATACTTGGTATAATTGGGTATATTTTACAAAAATCTAGTTTTCAAATTTTACTTTACAGGTTACGCCCCTAGCGGTTAACCCAGAAACTTATTTCCAGCGATTTCTCTTAGCCACATTTACCAAGGAATTTTTTCTCTCAAAGTTTATAACATGAATAGTTTCTGATATATAGCCGAGAGATCGGCTTATTGGACCACCCGGTACATTATGTTAGGAACAAGACCAGATTTATGTTTTACAGTAATGTATTTTAGTCAATTTCAAAACTGTTTTGGTATCAACCATTGGAATCACTTAAAAAATGTTTTGAGGTATTTAAAGAAAACTGAAAATTTTGTTCTAAGATATGTAAAATCTATTAATACTGTCATAAATATTGATGCTTTTGTAGACTCTGATTTTGTAGACAATATTAATGATCGTAAAAGTGTAAGTGGATTTGTTTTGAATTTTAATAGTAATATTATTTTCTGGAAATCAAAGAAACAGTCAGTTGTAGCAATTTATAGTACTGAGACAGAATATGTTGCTTTGTCAAACTGTATAACTGAGTGTCTCTTTCTTAAACAGTTACTAGAGGATATGATTTGTAAAATTGTTGATCCAATAGTGATATTTGAAGACAATCAGTCATGCATAAAGATTGCTTGCACTCTAGAAACAAAACGATCTAAACACATAGATGTTCGTCATCACTTTATTAGAGATTGTATTTTTGATAATGAAATTAAACTAGTATATGTACCCAACGAACAGCAGTGTGCTGATATGATGACAAAATCATTATCTTGTGTTAAGTTCAAAATTTTAGAGACTGTATAGCTGTCTGTAGTATTGCTAATAATAGGATGAATTATCTGATATGTTGTTTATAATTTGTTTAAGTTATTTTGGCGGAATTGAGGGCGGTGTTAAAATCCCACCTTGATTTTAAAAGTGACATATTGTCAGATTGTAACTATAGAACAAGTCAGTAGAGTTCACTTGTTTTGTTTTTATTATGGTATTGTAATGGCCGTTGGCTATCAACATTCTTATTATTAAAAGTATTCAATAAATAGTGAAATATTGTTTGTTTTACTGCTTCAAATCCAGTAATCACTTCATAATATAGTATTAGTATTACTATATTGTTTGAAGGCAGGTTAAACCTAGCTAGAAAAAATATTACCTGTGGTTAGCAGCTCTCCACTAGAAAGGCTACTCCCCTCTGAACTAGTCAGTGATAAATTTAGTGAACTGGTTACTTCGCTTAGATTTTGGATGGTATCATTGGCGATACTATTCTTCGTTATTTTTTCACTAATATTTCGAAGAATTATGCTAATTCTCGATACTCCCGAATCTACATCTTCGTTTTCACGCACTAATTCTTTTTGCGTACCTACAAATACAAAAAGGTTTTGCTGTAACAGTTCTAAAGCAAAAATGTCATAAATATGAGAAATACCACATATGTAAGTTTTACAAATATTTAGAAAACAAATAAAATTGAAATAACTAAGGTTTGGATGATTTATTTTACCTGTGGATTGAGACTTCTCGATAAATCTGCGATTTCTCTGTGCACGAGATGATGCAGGTTTGCCAGTTTCTTTTATTTCATTTTTAGCGCCTTGAATGTAAGTGTTAACCCTCTGTTTTTGCAATTCTTGCCGTTGTGATGTTTCATCTTCTTGTATTAACTCAAATCGATTATCTTTTCCTATGCCTACGGAAATTTTAAACAATGATAGATGTTTGTTAATCTTATAGCATCAAATTTTGAATTATGTAATGTATAAACCTTGTACTTACTAGTTATCAATTGCAAATCCATATTGTTATCTGAGGGGCAAAGCATATCTTCTTTCCTCAACAATACTTCCATTCCTTTGACCATTGTACTATCACTATTTTTGCTTTGTTTCGTCTTCTCCTCATCACTAATACTGCAAGTGACGAATGTATCACAGGTAGTTTCCATGGAAACCACAGAGCTGCTTCTCCTAGAGGCAATTTTAGTACCAGAAGGTTGCTTATAGGTTCTCAATAAATATGGTTTCCGCTTGGAAGCCCCTTTCAACTGGGTTTCCAGATGTTCAGGACTAGTAGATTTCTCTTCTTTGAACCGTTTCGCTTTATCTTTGGACTCCTCTTCTTTCTTTTTGGCGTTGTTCTCTTTGATTGTGTTACACACCGCTATTCTCTTAACGCACATTGCCGCGTGCGATTGAAGAGCCGCTTTCCGCTCGAATCTTTTACCGCATCCTCCGCACATTTGGAAATCGTTATCGCCCTCAATGTTATTCAACCACTACAAAAAAAAAATCACTATATAATGTGTTACCTTTATACAAAGATGATCAAGTATAAAATTTGGCAACAATGCGTCACTTTGAACATCTACTAAAAGTTTGTACTTATATATCTTACCTGATTTTCTTCGTCTGGCTTTTCAGTGTTTGAGGTAACTTTTTTTTGTACCTTCTTCTGAGTCTCTTGATCTTTTCTAATTACATTGTTTGAAATTTGCTCCCGTAATTTTTTAACTTGAGAAGAAGACTTCCTATGAACCTAAAACATTGTTTAATTTTGTCTCAAGACAAGCAAAACTATCTTATGAATGAATATTCATGTTTCTGTAACACTGTGTCAATAATAAAGTCTATCTTTTACTATCAAGATCAGTGTTACATAAATCAAATTTAAATTGATAGTGGTCATACTAGTAAGACAAATAAATTGGTCAATATTAAATAAAAAGGACTAGCTTCCAAATGAAAGACTAAATAGCAAAATAGTGTTCACATATTTGAAAAACAACTCAAAAATCAGTGCTGTGAGAGGTTGCAGATGTTGGAAGGCATGGACAGGTTGGTGGTTGAAGGCAAGGTAGATGGTAAAAGAACTCAAGGAAGATCGCCACTCTGATGGTCAGACCAAATAAAGTGTGCTACTGGTTACTCTCTGTCTTACACACTATGTCCAGGAGAGAGAAGAAAGGATATCAACCATTCGTCAAATACCATAATGTCACCACATCCTTACGAAGGATAAAGGATAGAGGAGGGAGGAGGAGGAGTGTGCTAAATTCAATATGATAAAATACAAATGGTAACAATTTTCTGTTGCAAGTAGCTATTTTTCTTTGTGCATATACCTTGTAGAGATGTCTGAAGACGGACCAAGTGTTGGCAAAAGTTTCCTTACAATCTGGACAAACATACACCATTCTGCTATTATTGTGTTTGTTCTTCAAGTGAAAACTAAGAGTTTTTCTGGTAGAAAATTTCCCATTGCACTTGGTACAACTAAACCTCGATGGAGGAATTACTGGCTTGGCATTGATCTGGTTGGTTTTGAAATTGCAGACCTTACCATCTGGCCCTAAAACAACCTTATCACTCTCCAGAATCCCATGCAGCTCCATTACCTAAAGATAAAAAATTTGACAGGTTGCATTAGTTATTACAACACATCCAAAAATATGATACAAAAAAAATTCCCATACAAAGAGACTACTGCTTCCATTACTTTCCTCTCCTCCCATTCTTCATCTTATGTTATAAAAACTTCCTATAGAAAACACTACATATTAGTGATGAATAAATACATCAAATAATATTCATTCATAATTACCTCATTCTTCATGGATTCTGGATTATCATCACTGCTACTTGAGGTATTGCCCATTAAAGTTTGAAAAACTGCTGCATTGTTAGTGACTATATTCTGCAATAAGACACTGCTACCCATACTTGTGTGGGAAACGTCATCTTCACTTTTCTGTTCAGCTGACAAATCAGCAACCAGGAGCTCTTGCGTGAGTTGTTTTACTTCCAGCTGCTCCTTTAACTTTTCTATAACAGGTACTAAGCCTTTAACTGTGGTTCTATCTTCAGGAGGCTCAGGAGGAGGCACTTGTTCCTGTAGAAATAATTAGTGTTATAATCAGCAGAATAATAAAAAAAAGAATAAAGGATAAAGCAAAAAAACAGCTCCCACTATTTAAAAAATATTTCAGAAATCATCCAGGATAAGCTGCAGTGAAGATAGCTAAAAAAAAGTGTCCACAGAATGAAGTATTTGCGTTTTGAAAATATCCTTATAATCTATAGTTGTATGCTTCAAATGTGCAGAGAGAAAGCTTTAGAAAAGTACACTTTTATTATATTAACTGATGGATTCTGCAATTTTCTAGTTTATATAAAATATGCAAGGAATAAATTTTGCATGCATCATTTGTAGCTATCTTCACTGCAGCATTATTCTGGATGATGTCCAATATTTCTTACCTGCGGAATGTCCCCATTGCAACTTGTGTCTAATCTCTTAAATTTCAGTCGACAAAAATTCCTTTTGTGCAAGATAAAATTTGCTAAACTCCGAAATATATTCTTGCATATTCTGCACTCAAACATTATATCACATTCATATGTAACATACTCTTTCACCTTAAAAAATAAATGGATATATTTGTATTGTAGGGACATTTCACATATACTTTACCTCTTCTGTAGCATTCTTCAATAAATTGAAAATATCTTGGATGTTGTAAATACTGGTCTCTATAGGTCTTTTGAGGTGGGACACATCAGTTTCTTCCTTTTCATTTTGGCCTGGAGCTTTGCCCAAAGTCGTCTGCAAGGGCTTTTTAACCTTCTTTGTTTGTCTATTTGTCATATTATAATCTAAAAAAATGTTTGGTTTACTATGGGGAACTACAGAATAAAAATCAAAATAATAGAAACAGGAAATGTTTATATAAAATAAATTAGATCTATGGTATTCCCCTAATTTCTGTACATTCAGTAAATATCTATAGTAAAAGTAAACAAAGACACAACTCCTATCATATGGCATTTAAATATAGCACTGTTTTTGGTGTACAACAGCAACAATATAAATTTCTTGAAATAAAAAAGTTGTTTTATATTATTAAACTTTTCGTTAACGCTGTTCCTAATGACAATATATAAGATCAAATTTAGTGCTGACTTGGACAATGATACCGCAAACCAATGAAATATTTAGGATGTACAGTTGTGTACTGGAAGCTATTATGACTTGAAAGTGTATAATATACCAGTTTACATAAGTTTTTTTCACGGAACTACGTAAATAAATCTAATGTAGGAAAATCATCTAAAATTTGTCTATACAGAAAAGTTTAAATGCACGCTTATATCCACGGAAAAATACCTCTATAATGTTGAAGAAGGTCACATCCAGAAGACTGTCTCTCCCTCGAATTACAAATAGATTCAAGATCAAATCACTAAGCAAAGACCATTAACGTAATTTTTATGATCCGAGTAAACCGGAGAAGGTATTTAAAATTGCGAGTTTACGTTAGAAAACTAAATAAATATAATTTTTATAAATACCTGTATAGATCGTCATCCACCATTTATAAGGATCACAAAATTCTCCAAACTGACAACGTTCAATGATAATAGATGGCTCTTAATGTCAATCTGTCAAAACAATGGACCATTGACAGAAAACGCAAATGACAGAGTTCTATTTAATAACAGAGGTCGAAATCCCTATGATCTAATTATGATAGAATTGAAACCGGGTAGAGGGCGCTATTTTCGGCAAAAAACATAAAATATTTATTAAATTGAACTTGTAAGCAAGCTTACGACATAATTTATATGAGTGGGCATTCTGGTTGTCTATTATTCTGTGATTGGACATGAGTTCAAAACTCAAAATGTCAAAAACTTTCGTCATTGGACAGACAGACCACGGCAGCACTGTTTCAAGCTTCTAAGCTTTCATCCTTTCATCAAGCAGAATTTTTAAAATTCATTTTACACCATTTAGTACCTAAGTAAATTAAACAAAAAAAGGATCGTTGAATTTGGATATTTATTATTTGTATTTTCGTGTTTTACATAAAGTTAAGAATGACTGACTAATATATGTATATTTATATAATTTTACCAAAGTATGTCTTAACTAATTATGATTGAAAAATATACTCTTATTAGATTAGATTATCTTACTTTGAATTTAAAAAAAAAACACTCTTAAAATCCATAAATAAATATTATGGGAAATAAGTGAAATTGTTTGCCCCCTTATTTGTGGACATCTAGCGGACAATACAAGCACTAAACTTATTTTCGCCGAGTTCTATATCATTACATTTATGGCGCAAATAATTCGAATCGTCACAAACATTGTCAACAGATGGCTGTATATGTCTAGCAGTCAAAATATTTGGTTATGTTGACTACTTTTTGCACATTTATTTTTATCTTCACATTTTTGTGAAGGAACAAAGGCGTAGAAAGAAATTAAATTAAGTGATGAATATTACTAGATTTATAGGCTATAATGTAATACTAAAACCTGCAACGGTAAGGTGTTAGGTATTTATACCTGCCAATCATAAGAATCATTAAATGTTGTTAAGTTTGCTAGAATAGATAATTTCTTTTGAGATTTTGTGTTGGAAAAGCTTATTTCAGTGAAAAAATTTATGCATTAATAATGCGAATATTATTAATTATGCTTCAGTTTGTGTTCAAATTTGATTAAACAATCTGTGCCATATTGGTAATGGTATTTTGTTGTTTGCAAATGATATAGTCACTAAATTTTTTGTGTACTTACTTTCAGGTCGCAAAACTACAAAACAATGGGTTAAAAATATGTTCAAATTCAAAATTATTAAGCCTATCAAACAGACAGCTTACTTAAGACAGAGTCAGGTAAAGTTGGTTTCCACATATGAAGTAAAAAATGAGCAAAAAGGAGAGAGTTTTCTCAAGAAAGCTTTGAAGAAGATTCCTTTTATTAATGTTGATCGTGTGTGGTAAGTTTTTATATTCAATTTTCCCTATCTTTAGAATATATCCGCCCTTATTTTTATTTTAGAAAATTAAAGCTAGAGGGTACATCCTGTATGAAGAAATAGCAGATAAAATTGACTATCTTGAATTTTTTAAAGAATTTGAGTTGTTAGATACTTTCTACTCATGGTTCACAGTAACTGAGTTACATATTTGGATGTTGAGTTTAAGGGCTATGGCAGAAGGTGAAAATGGGAAAGATCTTAGGAATGCTATTGTGGAGGCTTTGTGGACTGATGTCGCACAAAGGGTTAAAAGATTAGGGGTAAGTTAAATTTGGTAATTTATAAAAACAAGTATTGGTTATTAATTTTTTATTTTGTAGTCAGGTAGTCCATCTATGTTAAGAAAACCAAATAGTAGAATTATCAGAGCAAATGCAAGCTGCATTCATATCTTACGATGAAGGTATTCAATCTGATGATATAGTGTTAGCTGGAGCTATATGGAGAAGATTTTACAAGATGGAGCATGCAGATCCTTCTAACCTAGATAAACTTGTGAAACATATAAGAAAACAGGTGACTAGAACATTTCCCACATCAAAATCGATTTTTTTAATAAAAATAAACAGCTTATTCACTTATTTCTTTGTTTGTAGGTCTGTGTTTTGGATAATCTATCTTCAGAAAACTTATTTAAGAGGCGCCCATTAATTGGTTACCAGTTAAAGAAAGTTAACATCATCATATTAGTTTAAACTTGATATAGAATAATTATATTGTACATAGTTGTTGTATTGTATTTATTATTGAATAAAATTAAACACTAAATGTCATTTATTTACATTTTCCTAAAACTAAACTGTCACAACTGTTTTGTGAAAACTTTTAGTTTGGTCAATAGCCTTGCACACTAAGTAGCACAAATGAATAAAAGGCTAACATGAAAGGAAACAGAGAGCAAATAGGAAACTAAGAATTGTTACTCAAGTTGAAATTAAATATAAATGTGCAATCATCACTTATGGACCTAATGAGAATGAAAAAGCAGAAGCAAAATGAATGTTTCTGGGCAGAACTATCACAAGTAATTGAAACTAGCAAGGGATATAAGTGTGTTATAGCAGAGTTAGGAAGAGAGATCACCAGTACACATCAGTAATAGGACAACATGGAGAATAACAAGACTGTTGGAATACTAATTGATATCAATACCTTCTACAAGCACAAATATATACACAAGAGAAGAAAACAGTCTATAATAGAATATATTATACTGACAGAAAATGAAGAGACATGCACAAAAAATACACAGCAACCATTATATACTGGTAGCAATAATAAGAGAGAAAAGAAAATAAATATGTAGAAGACAGGGCCTAATTAATTTTGAATTCTGTTGTGATCGATCGTTTGGGTACTGCTGGCCTAGATTTACACTGGAGGCAAATAGTATACTCCATTCGCTTGGGCTGGGCATATTTTGACAGATTCATTGTCGGAAACCTACAACACAACAGTTCCTACTTCTCAGTATTAATAGCTGAAGTATACTACTATTGCAGACTTCTTTCTTTGAAAAAAGAAGAATTATTCTAAATAGTGGAAGTGTACACTAAACCAATCAAATTTTGGGTAGTATATATTTAAAAAATATATTTTAGTTATTATAATTAAACATAATATTTATATTGGTGCAGATAAATAAATATTGATTGTCGGTAATTCGCAAAGTTCTATTTTATTTACTATTTAGTTTGTTTACTATTAATATTGGCTATGAGTACGTGTGCTTGGTTTTATAGTAATTTCCAGCCACTTCTAGTCTGTCAAAAGTAACTAACTACGCAAAAAATAATTACCAAATTCACTAGACAGTTCGGACTGGGAATAGCGAACCGAGTATATTTATGTACACTTCATCTAATTTACATACCGATGCACGTCATCGGCGTCATAGCCCGTGACGTCACATGATACCAACACAAAATATTTAGGCGGTAGGTGTGTTCTTTTTATCACTTTGCCGAGTACACTAGCATTACAACCACTAGTCATATTTTATTATATACGCGTAGAAATAATATTTAAAAGTTTCTATTAATGTTAACTTAAAGAAATACACAATAATATGTTTCATTTAATTTGTATAAATGCGTATAAAGCGTTTTTATGAAGAACATTTGTTCAGAATACACTGAACTGTAATCAAACGAAGGTGAAATTTTGGCATAAATTGGTAACACTTATTTGACAGTTGTGGTGTGTGACACTTTTTGTATTTTACTATTTTGAATTTTAAAGTGCATACCTCTTGTTTTATATTTTTACCTATTTAATAAAATTTGTTTTTTAGAACAAAATTAGTGTGTTTTATTTCAAAAATGTCACGTAAGAATTTAAATAGTCGTTGTAAAGAGATGGTAATACTTTTGCAATAAGAACGGTTGACTACATCCAAAATTGTCTGTCACTGCAACACACGGCTGTGACGTAGGCGTGGGGATGACGAGCAATTATCGACATCTGTGTTTAGTGCATCGAGCAAAAAGATAAAAGAGGGGAAATCTAATCGTTATGAAAAGGGACCAAAAAAGTGGCCTCTGATGGCGGACATATCGGAAATGCAACAGGCGCTAAATTTAAATTTTACCAACACTTATTAACATAGCTATAAAATATTTTTCAGACGAGAAAGTTTAATTAAATATTACTATAATAGTCTAAAAAGTGACACAATGGTAAAAAGATTTCAATATAAATAAAAATTTCATGTGACAGTTGGGACAAAACAATAAATAACCTAACTAAATTTGACTTCTTAAACAAGGAAAGAGACTGTCTATCCTGGTCTAAAGTGGCCTCTCAAGATGCACTTCCTGTCTATCAATATGTTTACCCCCACTACCTTTACATTCCTCTTTTGTCTTATTGCTCGATGGTTTAGTGTCCTTGATGTAATCTATTTGATTTAAAATGGAGTCAGGATTTTTTTGTACTTTGGCAACTATGTCAACTTCGATGACGTGCATCAGTATGTAAATGAGATGAAGTATATATTCTTGGTTGCAGAACTAATAGTAACTTGTGTCAAACTTCATTCTATCATTCTATGTAGATTATATGTCCTGTGGCGCACCCAGGGGGGTTAAACCCCCAGTGCATTAATAAAGTTAAAAAATATTACAGGGGTGTTTCAAAAAAAGGTAACACCGTATCTTAGGGTAGGTAAAAACCACTGAAAATTAATTGGGGTTTTGATTAGTAAGAAAAATGTGTTGGTAACGCCATCCATTTTTCAAGATACAGGGCGTTAAAGTAAAAAAAAATTTAAGTATTTTTTTTACGATTTTGCCGAAAACTACTGGCAAACATTGTACATGAAATTTTATACGAATATGTTTTGGAAGCTGATAACATCCCAGAATTTGTTTTTATATCTTATTCTCATAGAGGGGCGCTAGTTACACGGATCGTACTAAGTATTATTCAATATAACTTTTTTAAGGTATAATTATTAATCAAAATGTTCAAGTAAACTTAAACATCATTCAATTTTACACGAAAAAGGTAGTCTTGGTAAAACTCGGTACGTGTACAGTTTTCGAAATATTTTGATTTGAAAATTAATGAAGTAATAATTGATGCTGGTATAAAATAGTTAGTAATTAAACAAAAATCACAAGAAGGAAAATTAAATTAATGAAGAAGAACATAAATAAAATTCATTACGTAAGTGTTCAAAATCCCCCGTTTTCGCGAATTTCAAGTCTGTCTTTTTTCTAAAGATTCCATAACCTCTAAACGGTAATAGGATCATCGATGATGTCATTAAATTGACGTGAATTCTTTCTTCCAATTCTGGCGTGAATTTACCTCTGTAGCATAGACTTTTTCCTAATATACGAACAAACTGCGTAGTCCGATGTTAAACATACCTTGTCGCGTAAAAGTGCCTCGTCCGTAAAAAGAATGCATTTTAAAAAAATTTGATTGTGGACTGTCCTTTGTTGCAATTTTTCACAAAAATCCACTCTAACCGGTAGATCATCTGGCAAGAGCTCTTGGACTTGTCTGTAATGATAAGATGTAATTACTGTTCTTTCAGTATCCATAATACTTGAAGAAGAAGTATTTGTTTGTCTTGCTATATTCCTTTCGCTAACTGTTGGATCTTGTCAAGTAAATTTAAAATATTATTTCTTTATTAATTGTTCTTGTTGTTCTTGTCTACCAAAATTTATTTTATTTGGTCTCACATTCCCAGTTTCTCGACAACATCGTTCATCGGCTCTAAATGTTTTTTTACTTGGTAACTTTTCTGCTTAACGTGTCACAACTGCACTAGAAACATTCGCCTACGGGTTAATAAACATGTCAGTGTATTCAACATTATGGGATACATTCTGATTTGATTTTACAAATAACAAGGTTGCAAAACTCCTAATTATAGTGTGATTTATCGTCAATATATAATCAAAACTAAATGTCCAAACTTTCTCTGGCACACTCTTTGGAGGAAAATAGAGGTATTTCTTCTATTAGAACTTTATGATTACTACCAGCAATCAATTATTCTCTATGTACAATCAGATATAAAAAACAAATTGCATGAGATGTATCAGCTTCCAAAACCTATTCGTATAAAATTTCATTACAATGTTGCCAGTAGTTTTGGTCAAGAATCGTAAGAATGATGCGTAATTTTTATTTCTTCAAAACGCCCTGTATCTTGAAAACGGATGGCTGTTACAAAAATTTTTAACTAAGCCAACCCAATTATTTTTCAGTTTTTTTACCTACCCATGAGGAGCGGGGTTAACTTCTTTTTTCTTTGAATACACACCTGTATAAAGAATAATAGGAAAAATGTAACTTGTCTTTCACACACAATAAAAAAACTCCAAAGCGCTAAATTGAATAATTAAATTACCACTTTAAATATGTAGAACGCAATAATTATTGTATAAATACGCAATAATTAATAATATTTTTCATTATTCAGTTGGTTGAATCAGTTCTTTGTTTTGGTTCTGAAGTATGGATAATTAATGCAGACTTGAAGAGAACACTGTTGGCAGTTGAAATGGATTATTTCAGAAAAAGTGCTAAAACATCAAGGCATGGAAAGGAAGACCAACGAATCTATAAGAAATAACATGACTGCTACAGAAACGGTCATTGACAGAATAGAAAGAAGAGGTTTAAAACGGTTTGGACACCTATTGCGAATGCCTGACGAACGTTGGCCCCAAAAACTTCACAGATGGAAGAAGGAATATAGGTAGACCTCGACTCTCATGGAATGAAAGAATTAGAAGAGCGATGGAATCGAGAGGTTTGGAGAAGGAGCATGCCTTGGACCGGGAGTATTGGCGGAAGAGGACCCATAGTCCGGTACGTGTGACAGTCAACTTCGTACAAGTAAGAGAGTGTGATTTTAGTTGGTAGGCAGGATAATAGATACCCGAATCTTTGGCTGCTATCTTTAGTACTTTAAATTAAACTAAAATCCAAATTTTAGGGACTCAAAATGGAGGTAGCATAAACAAATTTTGAAACCACCCCCCCTCAGACAAATTCTAGATGCGCCAATGTCTATATCTTATCAAAAAAATATTCTTTGAAAGAGAAACAGTAAAATTAACAAAAAGTGGGATAATTGACAGTAAACAAATAAACAGAGTTTTTTATTAAAATATATTTCAGTCAGAAGGTTTAAAATAAAACAAATATTGCTTTAGAATAAATACTTATTATTAATCAATAATTTATTATTTACAATACGGTTTGGTAGGTTTTCTGGACTGAGTTGTGGTAATTTTACATAAAACCTCTTTCTTACAGTCACTGTCACATCCAATTTTAATGGCAGCGTCTCCATAGCGAACATAGTTTCTGAAACAAATTATTTTATTAAATATTTCATCTATAAACCACAGTCAAATAATGATTTCTGATTGAATTGAAGTACGTAATTGTTGTGTTGTATTATTATTAAACAATTATCTGCACTTAATACTTACAGCCAATAGACGTGCAGCCGTTCAGGATCGTTAGCCATCTCGTCAGACAACTTGTCTAAAGATGCTGCTGAAAGATCCGGTAGGTTGTACTGTCCTTTCATCGAATAAAGCAACTGCCACGGTGGACTCTGATCCGGATAAAGATTTGCTAGAGTTAGATTAAAGTAGTAGGTGTGGATATTAAGGATTTCCTAAAAAAATATGATCCAAATCAACTAAACTTAGCGTAAAATAGTATTAAATGACTTACCATCGTGTCTGGAGAAACCTCTACAATTTTGAAGTTGGGGTTGTATGTGGTATATGTTGTTAAACTAGCTCCATTGAATGCCACGTTTATGGGCTTTCCATCTGTGTCGTAGAAGATTTTTAGTTCGTCTGTGTGAGTGTGGCCAACGAATTGGGCTTGGATTATATGTGAAAATCTGTAAATTACGTTATTACCGAGTGGTGAATCGTCAAACGGACGTAGGAAACTCAGAGGGAAATTCTTAACTGTTAAATTCCTGATTCTCTAATTATTTTACATCAAAAGTCATGAGAAACTATATGAAGATCTGTATTGACAACAAATGTTAAGACTGTTCTACGAATTAAAGACATTCCAAAATTTTGCAAAAATATAATATATTTGCCACAGTATTTTGTAAAAATTAGACCACACGTAGGGTAGAATGTGTATAATGGGTTGCGGTTGGTCACAAATCAAGTTTTTTTTTAATGGTGATTATTTAATCAATCTCAAGCCAATAAAACAAATTGAAAATAAATAAATAAATAAATAAAGAACTAAGAAGAAGATGCTGAGAGACGAGCGGAATTTTGTTAGTTGTTGTTTGAGAGAGGGTTAATGCTAAATGCAGACAGATTATTATAAAGAAAATATTTTATTTAGCAATGAAAGTACATTTACATAAAATAATGAATCAACTGTTCAAAATTATAGGATTTTGCCGACAAAAAAAGACTAAGAATATTATTAAAAATGATACCCAATCTCGCAAAAAAGAAATGTCACGGTTAGAAATATTTAGACACGATATTATTAGACCATTTTTCTACGAAGAAAATCGAAATTCAGAAAAGTTTTGGACTTATTACAAGAAGAGATTTCGGTAGATTTTTACAGAGTAGCTCCAGTCGAAAAAGAAACTTCAGAGCCTACTGTAACATTGACTTCGTAACAGCATTATATGCTAACGCAGTCTGTAATGTTAGACAGATTACTCATGTACTTTGTCAATAAATCCCATGCTCTCATGATTTATTTGCAAAAATCGCATTATTTTCATGTTTTATAGACATAGTCAAAAAATAAGGTATATTAGAGCATTATTTGTAAACTACAGATAACAAAGTGAGCATAAACATATTTTGCTTATGTCACAAAAACACTATGTCAACTAAAAACTTGTTACAACCCAGTACCAAGGATGTATAATGTATGAGACTAAATAAGACACTCTTTAACCACGTACAACTGAAACATAGCATTTCACAGCATTGTCGATCGTGCTCAATGGTATAAATAAATGGCAAGGTCGCGCTTTGAATGTGTGGTAATTTGATTATTCCTGTCGGGTAATCCCCGAAAACGATAATAGGTATCTTTAGTTTGTAAGATGGTAAGTGTCAAAGTGTACCAAACAGGTGTTCGTATTCGTATTACTCATTTTATACTGAATTTCACGACATAAATTCGGCTAGTAATACATAACCTGCAAATCGTCTATCTCATGCTTTTATTTTTAAATCTCATGCTTTCTGGAATTATTTCTCATGCAATATTTTTTACGACCTGGCAACACTGCCTGCTAAACCAGACCCTCTTCTGTGATCCAGCGATCTAGAAGCGAAATGGCTGCTATAAGGCCGGCATCCTTCGACAGATTTCAGTCTTCTACCTACAAATAGAATCTCATGACGTAAGTGAAGCAGAAATTCAACACTTTAGAATTTCCCATTGAGTTTCCTTTGGCCGTTTGGCGATTCACCACCCATATACCTACATCTTAAAACAAAGCATTAGAAGGGAATACAAATTGCTAAATCTATATCTATAAGTCTTGAATTCTTCCAGTGACCTCGAGATATTCCGAACAGTCGTAAAATATTCCATGCTACTACGAAAAAAAAAGGATTGGAAATATATTGCCTACCTTTGTACCAATTTAAGATAAGTATCTTCCCATGGGGAAATGCATTCATTGTTTCCCATACTGTTATGACCGATGATATGGACGTATTGGCCTTTTGCTTCTGCGGACAATAGTTCGTTTTGTAGCCAATCTAATTCATGTTGCATATATGTGGTATTGTAGAACAACCACCTAAAACAGTGATTGGTTGAGTTTACCGAAAGTACAAGCTGAATATAGCCACAAATGTCAAAAATATTTCGGTTTGGCAATGTTGGCATGTTTTTATAATGGGATTGCATCATTCTATTGCTATGATTCTATAATGGGTATGCTTCAAATATAAAGAGATAAAGCTTTTAAAAAGTACATTTTGATTATACTATTTTATGAATTCTGCAATTTTTAATTCATATGAAGCAATAACGAGTAAATATTTGTCTCTTTCGAGATTAATTGCAAACATCTTTTATAATCTGGCAACTGCTGATTTGACGATTGCCAAATCTATCCCCTAATCTATCAAAGGGTAATTGCTAAAAAAATTTCTAATAATTAACTGCAATTAATCTCCAAAGAATTAAATATTTATTCACTGTTGTTTTATATAAATAAAAAATTGTAGAATTCAGCACATAATATAAACAAAATGTACTTACTTTTCTAAATCTTTTTATATTTGAAGTATACAGCATCTACATTATAAAAACATGCCAACACTGCTATACCGAAATTTTTTGTTCCATGTTTGACATTTGCGGCTATATTCAGCTTGTACTTTCGGTAAACTCAATCCTTTGAATATACGATATTTATATAGGAAAAAAATCTAATAAGTGTTATAATCGTGAGTTGCCGAAATATTCATTAGAATAACAAACAACTACATTATCTTTGCAATAAATGAATCGGAACACTACAAAATGTAAGTGTACCAGTAGATCATTTTTACTGTCTTTATTTTTTATTTATGCGCGACAATAGTGACCTACAACTTATATTTCTCCCAATTTTGCTATTTACAAAAGAAATATTAAGCTATTTAAACAGAAATCCTTATGACTCACCAGTTGAAGCAATAACATAAATTATTGTTGATGACAATAACTTTGAGTTTGGGATAGAGGTCGTATGAATAAAATCCTTGTTGCCTGATCATATCTAGAGCAGGTCCGTCGATCCATTGGCTCCACAGTTCTGCAGAGTGGTTGTAGAGCCACTGTTGGTCAAGTCCCGCATTTGCTATATCGCTTTCTAGAGGTGGGAATCTGAAATGTCGTTAATAATAAGAATATTTTTGTTGTAACGATTATCTAGAGTCTGTCACGATCAGATAATTGGAATAACCGAGCAGGGTATATACAGTTAAGTCCATGATTCTTTTCCCGTGCGTCATTAATACCTGGCAAGATAAAACACCTACTTTTTATCTAGCATTATTGTCTTCCATGCATGAAATTAAAAACAAAACCAGATTCGTGATCGGAGCAGTAGCCACTTTCTGTCACTTGCTGTTGCGTGGAGTAAATTTCCGACTTATTTCGTATGCAAAAAATGATGACGCTGGAATAAAGAACCATGGACTTAACTGTATCATAATGATACTTACACATTCATAGGTTGTGATTCGTGATTTCCCAACGCTGGTAAAACGTATGTATCTGGAAAATATTCTTTAAATTTACCGAATACGTAATCCAATGATTCTTTGCTTTGTTCTATAGTTGTATTCCATATCGAATGGTCGACCACATCTCCTGTGTAATAGATAGCAGTAATTGGCTAAAAATACATATAAATAACAATTTTCTAGCTCACTAAATATGTCACGAATTGTTTTACAAGTATGTTTTATTTTCAAACGTCACAAAAGAATTAATTTTTTGGTCTGGTAATCCTATTGTTGTCAGTTTGACTAACGTCATTGAGGAGAAATCGTGAATCAGGTCGTGATTTAACAGTCAAAATTTAATTCGCGAACATTGCCAGGCAACTCATACTAATCGAAAATATTACTAGCAAAATTTTATCTCTTATTATATTACATACGAAAAAATCACGCAATAAGTATGCTAGAAATACTAACAATATTTAACATTATTTTTACATATTGTTGTTTGGCGCCTAATTACGGTCCTGTGCTTTGGCAAAGATAGTCTTTTCACCCAAATTTTACATGCACCGTTTTTGATCGATGTTTTCGTTTTCATCGCGGACATTTCGTGTTATGGCACAGGTTCGGTCTCCGTGCTTCCGCTGTCTATTGCTTATATGCGCTATAGCTAGGGCGACCATAATTTTTCAACAGAAAAAAGTACATCTATAATTTTTAGGAAAATATGTACACTGCTAGTGCCTAGGAAATTTTTCTGGTCAAAATTTTACGAATCTTTAATGAAACAATCATAAGAACGATTTTTTTAAATCAAACATAAGTACATAAAAAATGTATGATAAATTTTAATAGTTAATTTTCTTTCGACGTTCCTCTCTGAACATCTTGATCATCATTTTGGTACCAGTCGTACTTTTTGGAACTATGAATTTCCTTCAGAAGTTGTGGTTTACTCTTTAAGAACTGAAACATTTCATTACACGAAACTTTGTAGTTTGTGTAGACTTGCATGATTGCTTCCAAAGTAGATATTTTCAACTGCGATTTGTTGGGACTCCAATAGTTATTGATATTTGAGAACAACTGCTCAATCGACGCACTGGTCCGGCAGACAAAAAACAAACTCACATAAAATTTTGAGATTTTTCAAAGCCCTTTCTTTTTGGAAGATTTCGAGCCATCGATCTTCGGTAGAAATATTGTTCGAATACCAGTCTGTGATTTTATTTTCCGTAACGTAGGTTCGTATTAGACTAACTTCATCAAACAGTTCGTCCTGATTCAATATCAGACCAACGTAGTCGTTGAAAGCCTCACACGACGATAAAATTTCAGCCCAAGAAACTTGTTTTTTCAAGTTAACTCATCCAAATAGCTTTAGTTCACTTAAATTTTCACTCCAGTTTTTCAAATATGTTACACAATTTGAATAGAACAGCTTGACATGCGTGATAAAGATATCCCGATAGTTCACACTAAGTTCAAGGTCTTCCATATTTTCAAGTTTTGAAAGGGACTCTCTTACTTTAAGCGGCAAAAATAACTTATTTAAGCGATTTTGAAGCTTATTTATAAGTTCGAAATACTCCAAAGCGGCTTCCGTTGCGCATATTTTGTCACCTTCTACATCTAAAATCACTTTGTGGAAGAGAGACGCAATGTTATGCACAAACCACATCCATGCTTCACTGATTGTGTTTTGAAAAAACTGTTTTAGAACTGTTGGACAATTATCAATCGACAAAAAATATGCTTTCAAGGTTCAACATTTGTATAATTGGTTCAATGGCTGGATTAGGCTCAAAAATCTTGTTTTTGAAAACGAACAACATTTTTTGTACTCGATATCAACAAAATCGCAAAACTGTTTTAATTTCTCCACTCTGACTGTAAAAATATAAAAATACTTAAAAATCTTGACCGCAATAACCTCGATGTCTATGGGTAAGACGACCGTCGCATTTTGTAAACAATTATTAAAAATGTGTGCCACACAACCAATTCCAATCACGGGTTTACCACGAGAAGCATTTAATTTGCTGAATAGATTATTCACTCCTTTTTTCTCGTTCCACCAAAATTTGTATTTGTATTATCAGCAGACATTCCGATGAATTTTTGTAGTAAATTATGGTGGTTCAAAACATTGACCACGTAATCTTTTAACTGCTCTGATGTTTCACCAGGTAAGTCACGTAGCTGAAGTAATTTTACTTGGACACCATTTTCTCCATCAAAATATCTTACCATTAAGGGTACAACTTTAATTTCTCTATGATTCGACGAATCGATTGCGATGCTGACGAAATTTGCTTTTCGAAGGTCAATTTCTAATTGGGATTGAGCCTCTTGAGCTAAAACATTTTTTACGATCGCCTCAGTCTTGGTTCGAGCTGCCGCAAAATTAGGTTCAAACATGCTTACAATTAGTTTTGACGTGCAGTCTAAGGATCTGAAACTTTGCAAATACTTAATTTTATGGTAAGCAAAAGTAACTTCCTTGGCAGCAATCAACATATTTTCAGAACTTAAATTTTCTTTTTTAACAAAGGTTTCCAATTTGCTGCTCTTCGAGTTCGCATTAGTAGCCAACATGTGTTTTTTCTTTGACAAATGTTGTTTGATATTACTTCGACCACTGTTAGAAATATCAACATCACTGTTACAAACTTGGCAAAACACAATATGCGGTGAAACATTTGATTTTTGTTTCATAAAAGGATACTCTGCTTGCAACTCGACGTTAAAATGGCATTTTCTTCTAGGCGGTGACATGATGAAATTGTTTATTTCAACACACAGCACAAAATAATATAAAAAACGATGAAAAGTGTCGGTAAAAAGTAATCAACAGTGAGCGCATCAATTCGAATCATAATTATATTTTGTTTGGACAAAAAGTAGGACTTAATTTTGTGTAATTAAGAAAAGGAGTACATTTAGGTGTACTTCATAAATTTTAAAGTACAATAGGACAGCGTTTGAAAAGAAAGTACTGTCCTACTAAAAAAAGTAAATATGGTCACCCTAGCTATAGCACTTTAGTAAAATATCTTTCTATGCAATACACGTGAGAATTGTAGAAAATACTTTGGTAATGTAATTAGAAATTGTAGCTGTGGTCAAGTGTACTTACAAATTGCTTTTGAATGAAACTCAAGGCATTATCTACCACATTCGGAGCGGCGTCACAGTTGTAGTCGCCCCACTGTCCTGCTCTTCCAGACTTTAGCTGACTACCCAATCCCTTCAGGCAACATACAGGATATCCGCAATCACTGACTGCACCAACTTCATAATTTAACGATACGTGAAAGTCCGACGCATGTAGGAAGTATAGTGGTGGTTTGATGGGGTCTATTTCAACTGTCTGAAAGAGATAATATGCTTTATAATTTTTGTATATACATGTATATGAATATAGTAATTGAAGTACATAATACTTTATTTATAATACACCTAGGATGGCCTGACAAAGATTCA